GAGGGTTTTCTGATCTATTTTCCCGCCAAAAAGATCCGGAGAAACTTGGCGGTCTAAAATAAAAGAAACTGAGTTGTGATGGGTCCAAATTCTGAATTTATGGCCTTATTAAAGCCCACTCTAAAATTACTTTTAATATATTAACTCCATATGTAACAAATTGTAGAAGATGTAAAAATAGAACAAATTTATAAGTTTTGAATTATTGAACTCGTAAAGTTACTTTTGCTTGTTGTGTAGTAAAAGTTGTTGAATTTCATACAAAGATGAATTGCAATAATACAATGCTGCTGAGAATTTCAAGGGTTCATAGAATTTGTAACCATATCAAGAATTGAGTTAACTATAGCTTCAGGGCTAAGAACAACACTGATTTTGAATATCTTTTCGCAATAATCATCAGCTTGAAGCAAATCAAACTGAGACTGGAGAAGAGTGAGAGGCATGAAATGTTCTCCCTCTGAAGCTCTTTTCCGTAACCGAGCGGCGATCACCTCCGCATTACCTTCCAGTAATACAAAATTCACCTTGCAACTCGAATAGCTTCCTGGTTTGTATTCAGGATCAGATCCTCTCAAGATTTCTCTATAATGCTTTCTCAATGAAGAACATGCAAGAACAACGGTTTCTCCATTGAGTAGACGTTTTCGCAAACTCTCTTGGATTTTTTCAAGCCACGGCATCCGGTCTTCATCTGAAAGAGCAATGCCTTGGCGCATTTTATCTGTTGGAACCACGGGACATGAATTTCTCAACCTACTGAAAAACCTCAATTTGTCAAATGTATTGATTTCTGTTACCTCTGTTTGATAGAGAGTGAAAATCATCGGCGTCAAGAAAGTCGCAAGATAGAGCATTCCCCAACATCTTACCTATGGTACTAACAAAGCGAAAAATGCGATAATATATCGATTTCTTTCTTCTAACTCTACGTCTAGTACATTTCGAAAATAAACTTACGATTTTCCTGCTCCGCTTACGCCCATAATTACAATGACTTTACCTGTTGCTATGATACACAAGAATGAGCGTAAACAGAAAATTGACCAACAAAAGGTCCAAAAGAACATGTTGAAGCTTACCAACATTGTTAACCGACATGTTTGGTCAAACAGATTTGGTGAGTTTTGAAGAAACAATCTGTGAACAAGAAAACAAACATATCATAGCTTTATCTGTTAGTAAGAACACTAACAAGTAACAATCTGTCTCCTATCTTGCGGATTGTTCTACAATATGTATCTTTCCTGGTTAAAGCATCTCCTATTTTCAACAATTTGCAAAACAATTCATACCTAAAGCTTATAAACAACATTAAGAGATTGTCCAACATAGAACTATATGTAACTCTCCTATCTTACACGTTTGGAGCTAATGATCAGTTACATGATTAACCCATTTGACTCTGAACCGTGTACATAGAGGATACATGACCATTGATTTTTCTTTCTTTCTGAAGTACATGATGAGAATCGTTGACACAAAAGACTTACTGGGATCTTTTTTTTTCTTGGGCGAATTGAAGTCTTGGTCGAAGACAAAAACAAAATCACAAAAACGAAATCAGTGGTGAGAGTTTAATCATGAGAAAGAACAAAAGAGATTAGAAAAAGTGGTTAACAAAATTGGAATCAGAATGAAGATAATCTGAGAGTTTAATGAATACAAATTTGGAAGGGGACGAGAGGAAAAAAGACGAAAATTTGGGGGAGAGAGAGAGAGAAAAGGAGGACAACCAAAGATGGAAATGACTCATGTGTTAGGTTGGAATCCTTGGAGGCATTTACTTAATTTATTCATATAAAATTAGGGAAATTTCAAGTCCATGCCACATTTTTAAAATTTTTTAAAAAATACAATTTTTTTCTTAAAAAAAATTTATTATATCGTTTGGGTTAACTATGTTGTATTAGGTTTAGATTTGAGGGTTTAAAGGGTTTTAGAGGTCAAAACATTTTTTAGGATTTATAATTTTAAGATTTAGGTTTTAAAAATCCATAATTATTGACATTTTTTTGCAAATAAACACATCTAATTTACAAATAAGTGGCATTATTGCAAATGTACATACCAAAAGTGATATTTTTGTAATTGCTCCATAAAATTATCAAAATACCTCAATACAATATACTCTAATTTATGAAATTTTATATAAGAAATAGAATTAATTTCGTTTTTTAACACTGAAAAAAAATATTAATAACCAAAAAAAATCTTAAACTAAGTACATATAACCATATAATTATTTTACGAATTTTTAATCTATTTTTATGGCTATTTAACCTAATTTCTCAAAACTAGTTTACATTTTTCTAAAAGATATTA